ATAACATCAAGAGTGAACCTTAAATGTAAACTATGGAGTTTGGATGATTATATCTTAATGTGGGTTCATCAATTATAACAAACATCATTCTGGTATAGGATGTTGATAGTCTGGGAGATTTCATTAGTGACATCAAAGAGATATATGGGAGCTCTATACTTTCTGGCCAATTTTGCTGTGCACCTAAAATAGCTTGAAAAAATAAGGCATATTAAAAAACAAAAGAGAACAAACATTAGACCAGGCATGGTGGTGTGCACCTGTTGTCCCAGCATTCAGGAAAGTGAGGCAGGAGAATTGCTTGATCCTAGCAGTTTGAGTCGGCCTGTCTCAGAGAGAAGGTGTGGGGAGGGAGAGGAATGAGGGGGAGGGAGAGTGGGAAGGGAAGGAGACTGGTATTACTACAAATCCATTAGATTATCACAAATTTACAAGCCTTGGGGTGAAGAGGATTGAAGAGGATATACATATATATGTATGGATATACATATATATATGAAGATAGCGTAATGAAACTTACAAAATACTTTGTAAAAGGGGGGAGGAGGAAGGAAGGGAGGTTAAGGGACTATAATGGAGGAATGAACTTGCTCAAAGTACACTGAATGCATCTGTAGCATTATCACAATGAAACCCCCTTGTACTATCAATGTATTCTAATTAAAAAATAAGAATACAATTTTTACAAGCCTTAAAATATCAGTATTTGTTGAAGATGGTGCAATTCATGCACTTAGTCACAGGTATTGACAAAGCTACTTTGGAAAACAATTTGGAATTGTCTAATGATGCTGAACATACACATAGTCCCTAACTCAGCAATTCTGTTATTAAGAATATGCCGTGCAGAGGTTTCTTAGAGAAACAACTGAAAATAACCCAAAAGTCTACTACAGAAAACTTGATATATTCATACAATAGAATATCAAATAATTAAAATAATGAACTGTGATTATGTGCGTCAACTTGAATGAATCTCAGAAACGCAAAGCTGTACAAAAAGGGAATATTAGATATTGAGTTCAAAAAGTGCAAGATTTGATAATATAAGTTTCAGTAATCATAATATTTATGGTAAAACTATAAAGAAAAGGAGGAGGAACTGGGGTTGTGGCTCAAGTAGTAGAGCACCTGCCTAGCAGGCATGTGGCCCTGAGTTCAAACTCAGTACTGGGGTAGGGGAGGGAGAAAGAGAAAGAGAGAGAAAGAGAGGTAAGGAAATAGTTAACCATGTTTCTGTATTTACAGGATCGTAGTTCCTTTAATGAAGGGTGGGAATTAGGATGTCAGCTATGTATGAGACTATTCTTAGTGATATGTACAAGAGGTCTCATTTATAAGCCAGGTGAAGTGGCACATGCCTACTGTTTCAGCTACTTGGGAGTCTGAAGAAAGGGAATTTGTGTAAGTCCAAGAGTTTGAGGCCAGCCTGGACAGCAATGCAAGACCTTGTCTTTAAATAGAATCTATTATTCTTTAAACTGTATGTATGTATTCTTCTGTATGCATGCCATATTTTACAATAAGAGCTTTTTAAAAAATCAAGCTTTAGTTCTCTATTATATTAGATCATATTTTTATAATTTTCAGCTTGCCCCACAGAATTCTATCTCTAGTAGGATAGGAATACAGAGACAGAAACTGAGACAAAAAAAAAGAGGGACTATATGAAAGAGTTCTTTTGTAATGAAACTGATTTATGATTGAGTTCAACACTACCTATTCTTTTTATGCTATTTATTCTTTCTTTCTTATTACAGTTTGAATAGTGTTCCTGTCACTGGCTGTCTTGATCTGTCCTGAATGCTGCTTCCCCTAGCAAGTTTAAGGCTCTGGGTTCAATGCATAGTACTGAAAAAGAAAAAAAAAGAGAAATTAAAAAAAAAAACAACTTGTTTAGCTACTTGGAAAGTAGGAGGATCCCAAGTTCTAGGCCAGTTTGGGCAAGAATCATTAGATTCTATATCAATAACAAAATAAAAGCTGGTCATTGTGGAGTATGCCTGTAATCCCAGGACTCAGGAGGCTGAGGTAGGAGGATGACAAGATGGAGGTCAGCTTGGGCTACATATCAAGACCCTGTCTCAAAAACATAAAAATAAAAACAAAAGGACTGAGTGTATAGCTCAAGAGGTGTAGTGCTTGCCTTAAAAGTTCGAGGCTCCCACCCTTGAAAAGAATCTTGAATGAAAGCCTTAAAAAAGAGATGGAAATTCTGTTATTTTAACAACATGGGTGAACCTGAAAAACATTATACTAAGCCAGTGTTGTGCTCATAGAAGCAGAAAGTTGAATGGTGGTTACCATGAGCTGGGATGGGTTGGGGAGTGAGAAGGGATATAAGTCAAAGCATAGAAAATTTCAGTTAGAAAGAAGGAATAATTTCAAGAGATTTATTACACAACATGGTGACTATAGTTCAGAACAATGTACTGAATTTTTAAAATTGCTAAGAGTAGATTTTAAATGTTCTCATAAAAAATTATGAGAAATAATGCATGTCTTAATTAACTCAATTTAGCCATTCCACAACATGCACATATATTAGAACATCATATTGCAATCAATAAATATATAACAGTTTTATTTATCTATTAAGAATAATTTAGAAGGCTGGGCATGGTGGTACACGCCTGCATAGGTGGTGGAGATTGGAGGATTGCTGTACAAGTCTAGCCCCAGGCAAAAGTGTGAGACTCTATGTGAAAACAAACTAAAGCAGAAAAAGGGTTGAAGGCATGGCTCAAGTGGAAGACCCTGAGTTTAAAACTCTGGTACTGTCTCCAAAAGACTCCTGAATATTTTATGCTTATTTGTACATTGTTCATCTCTTTCACTAAACTATAAACTCATCAAATTTGCAGTTGCCCTGAACAATGCCTGACATGTAAGTGCTTATCACTTATTTGTTGAGTGAATAATAAACAACCCAACTAAAATTGCACTTATAACACTTTTGTAATTGTGTATTTATGTGTATCCACCCTTAGATACAATGGCATTATTATATTAATATCTAGCAGAATGTTTAGTTTGTGATGGGTGCTCAATAAATTAAATGCATGCACAGAAACAGTTTTTATCTGCAATTCAAAATCTATCTCAAACTATCCCTCATTTTATTTTTATTGTCATGCTGGGTGGGAGTACATTGTGGCATTTACAAAAGTTCTTACAATATATCAAATATATCATACTTGACTTCACCCCTCCATCATTCTCCTTTATCCTTTCCCCCTATTCCTGGAATAGTTTCCCATACGCTTTTCCCACCTCCTCCCCCTTCCACTGGTACCAAGCCCCACCTCTAGGCAGGACCTGTTCCACCCTCCTATCCTTCATTTTAAAGTCAGAGCTAATAACCTGGTAATAAGAGTATACTTGTCTGGTGCTCACTATGTGCAGGCACTGTTCTGAATGTTTTTCACATACTAATTTATTTGACCACACAGCTCTCTAGAGGTGGAATTATCCTCATTTCGCAGAGCAAGACACACAGTGAAGTCAAATAACTTGCTTAAGGTTACACAACTAGTAGTGGTAGAGCCAGCATTTGCAGCCAGGTAGTCTGACTTTATGGTTGTATCTGTAATTCTGTCTCCAGAGGATTTGTAATGCATGTGGAGTAAAACACAGAATCCTTAGGGGGCAAATGAGGATCATAAAAATCTTCTCTACAAGGTCTTTTCCTACCATTCCCTTTTATGAATCCTAGACTCCAAACATTGTAACATTTTTGGTGAATATGCTGTTTCCTTTTATACTCTATTTAAAAGCTGCAAACTTTCATAGGTAAAATGTCCTTTGTTCTCTTTCCTCCTGGAAACCTTTATTCATTTCTTAAAATTGAGTACAAAATGTATTCTTTTTGAAACCCTTCCTATTTCAGGCTATTTTATCTGCACTTTTAAAACATTGTGAAGTATTACATTGTGTTGTAATTATTAGTTTATATATTTTTCTTCACTACTAATTTTAGCCTCATCTAGATCTGGGCTTATATCTTATTTGTTACAGGTTCAGTGGCAAAACCAATGCTGTCATGTTTACTGAATAAATGAATGAACATAGTTCAAGTGTCAATACTACAGCTGTACAGTAAAACTGCTACTCTAGATGTACAATGAAACTGCTGTTCTATCAGTTTGTCACTATCTATTAATGCTTTGTGACCATTCATGTATTTGTTTTGCTAAACTATATCACAGTTTTATATTTCCACTAGTCTCTGCCTTGTTTTATTTTGTCCATCTAACAATGCTTTGATACTTACATAACACAAAGTTAATTATGGTCTGCCTTTCTCACTTGTCTTACATAAGCATGGCGAAACTAGGTGCTATACCTTACTGTCACCAATAGAGGGCCCAGAGCCTGGGACAGAAAAAAGGATTAGTAGATTTTTGTCAAATTGAGTTCAGTTTCAATCAGTTGGCTTGGTTAGGTTATCTGGTTATCTGAGTATCTCTTACCACCAAATCTTTTTCCTGTGATAGGCCTGATAATTTTGCTTTCAGTTTTTCATATGCTATTACCTTTATCCTTTTAACAACTACAATAAGGGAAATGCAGTTTCTTGGGCTAGAGACATGAAAAAAGCAATTGTAGATGGAATATATTTTCATTTTTCCTATAGAATATTTGAATTTGGGTGCATATTATTGTTCCTCAAACTTAAAAAATAACACTAGATAGCCTATCCGTCAAATTTAAAGACAAAAATGCTGGCTCACACCTGTAATCCTGGCTACTTGGGAGACTGTGATTGGGAGGATAGTGATTTGAGGGCAGACTGGGCAAATAGTTCGAGAGACCCCCATCTCCAAAATGACCAGAGCAAAATGGACTGGAGGTGTGGCTCAAGTGTCAGAGTACCTGCTTTGCAAGAGTGAAGCTCTGAGTTCAAGCCCCAGTCACAAGCAAAAAAAAAAAAAAAAAAAGACAGCAATACTAATGACATGGTATCAGAAATATCTGAAGATGGCTATATTACATTGTACCTGTAATTGGAATCTTCCAGTATGAAAATTTCGAGAAATAAAAACACTCTGAGATTGAGATTTAATCTTTGGTTTTGATGGTCTTTGCTTCACTCTCTCATCAGTTTCTTTGAATTTGGAATTTTGAAGTATTTCTCTGAAAAATATTTTATAGAGAATATTATTAAACATGAATTGATTACAAACCAATTAAAGTAACATTTATAACATGCTTTTAAAATCAGAAAATTATGTTACAATGCATTTATTTTTAAAGCAGGTACCAATTTATATACTCCCTTATATTTCATTACATCTTATTCAGAGTGTACATTAAGCTAATTATACATTGTTAATATTTTCAGCTTGAATATTAAGCAGTAGTCATTGATATACTTCTTTATGGTTATGAGATAATCAACTTTAATATTAACTAGTCTTTTCATAAATTTATCTTAATGGCAAAAGAAATGAAATAAACAAAACTCATCGGTCACTTTTGGTATTTAATAATGCCTCTGGAAAGAGCGAGAGGAAGGAAATTGAACTGAAATTAATGACTTATAATGGAGGAATTCCTGTGATCTTTTTCTTGTGTGTGTGTGTGTATGTGTGTGTGTAGCAGTACTGGGGTTTGAATTCAGGGCCCTGTACTAGCTAGGCAAGAACTCTACCACTTGAGCTACATCCCCAGCCTTATCTGTGACTTTTTATTATCCACAAAACTACAAATAAGTGAGAGGGGTTAAAAACGATGAAGCGGCAAGTAAAACCTCAGCTCATCCAAAGGCAGATAGCTAAATAAAAGGAAATAGAGTTTCAAACAGTCATAAATTTAAGTATTTGAAAAATAAGCCTTTCCAGACAATGGAGTTCAGTGGTAAAAGAAATGAGCTATAAAGCCATGAAAATACACAAAGTAAACTCCCTATTTAAAAAATAACTAAAACAAAAAGGGCTGGAGGCATGGGCTCAAGTGGTAGAAAGACTGCTTACTGAAGTATGAGGTCCTGAGTTCAAACCTCAGTACTGACAAAAAAGATAATAATCACAAGAAAATGAAAAATTACAACTGTGGAAAGTGCTATCAAGGAAAGTTACCCAGTACTGTGTGAGTAGAAAATTAACCTGGTAAGAGAGGTCAGGGAAGGCTTTCCTGAGGAAGAGATGATTGAACTAAGCTGCTGAATTATTAAGAGTAGCAACTGAGTTGGTAGAAGGAGGGAGATGTGGAAGTAAGAATATTCTAGGCAGAGGAAATATCAAATACAAAGACCTAGCAGCCAAATTAGGACAATGTAGGAACAACAAAAATCAAGAGGGAAATGGGACATGAAATTGGGAAGAATGCATGGGAGAATCTTGTCATTTTGTCTTTATCCTAAAAGCAATGGGAAGTCCTTTTAAAATATAGAAGAAGAAGATAGGGTGACTTTATTAGACTTACATTTGGAACTGGTATGGCTGAAGTATAGGCATTAAATGAATACAATATTGAAGGTTAGGGGTCAGTTATAACTCTTAGTGAAGTAGTGTATGTGTGGTTAAGGCTAAGTTGGACAGAGTGGTTAAGGGAGAGAAATGAATAGATGTCAGTGTGTTATAAGCTAAAATAAGTAGAACTTGGTAATAGTTCAAATTTAGTGGGGAGGGTGGGAAAAACAAAAAAAGTCATCAAATATGTCTTCCATTTTTAGAAGAAAAAACATCCTGTTTTGACTCTACATACTCCTCCAGCTACTGCCCCATTTACCAGCTTCTCCTCACAAAACAACAAACAAAACTTCTTCAAAAAGACATACTGTGTTGTCTCAATTTTCTCACTCCTTGTGTTGTTTTCAAAGATGAGCTTCTGAAACCACCACTCCATCAAAATTTCATCAAGGTTACCAACAACATCCATGGGAAAAAAAACGTAATTTCTCTGCCCTCATCTTTTTCAACTTAAGTATTCAACTTAAGAAGGCTGATGCCTTCTTCTTATAACACTTTTTAAAAAATGTTTGATTCTTCATGTTCTTCTGCTAGATTTCTAAATGTTGGTAGCTTAAAGGGCATAGTCATAGCTCACCTCTATCAGTAACCACTCCCTGAGTAGTCTCATCCAGTTCTATGACTTTTAATATCAAACCTTCAACCCAACTTCTCTTGTGAAACTTACACATGTATGTTCAACTGCCTGATTGGCATTCCCATGTTGATGTCTAATAAGATTTCAAATTTACATTCAAAACACAACTCCTGGTTTATCACCACTTCCCTAAATTGATCTTTTTTATTATTATTTCTTCATCTCTTAAAATAGCACAACCAATTACTCAGCTGCTCATAATAAATGCCTAAATGTCAGCATTAATTCTGTCATTCCATTTTCTTTCTTTACTTCATTCAATCTATCAAGAAGTCCCAATTCTACCTACAAAATGTATTCAAAATCCAACCCCTCTTTTCATCTGCTCTGTGTTCATATTAGTTCAAGACACCATCACCTCTCACATGGACTAAGTGGCCTCCTAATTTGTCTTTTTGATTTCATTCTTGTTCTATTAAAAGTCAGGCTTCACAGAGAATCTTTTAAAAATATAAACCAGAACTTTCATACATTAATATTGGAAGTACATACTCACTTTGGAAAACTGTTGAGCATTGTTTTGTAAAGTTAATCATATGATCTTACAATTCTACTCTTAGGTATTTACCTCAGAGAAGAAAGCGGCTACATGAATATTCTTGTGGACTTACACAAGAGCTAAAAACTGGAAATGACCCCAATGTCCATTACAGAAATAATGACAAGCCAAGGTACATTCATTTATATAATGGAATTTACCATTTGCCACAAACTATGGATACATGCAATATAAATGTATCAAAAATATGTTAAGCGGAAAAGCAGGCACAAAAAAATCCATAGGATTCCACTTAAATTAACAAATAGGGAAAATAAACCTATGGTGATAAAATCAGACAATGGTGGCCTCTGAGGTAGTAGGTAGGGACTGACGCCTGGAAGTAGCATGAGAGAACATGGGTCATGAAAAAGGTTGTATATCTTGACTGAGGTGGTTATATAAATATATATTTGTTTAAATTCATTAGTGTACATTTAAAAGTCCATGTGCTTAAAAGAAAGCAAAAATCACATTTTTAATACATTAATTCTAAAGAAGTGCTATTAATATGTAAATCAGTTATAAGGGATATATAGAGTCTTCAAAATGGATATAATATTGCTTCTACCTCATGGAGTTAGTCTAAATGAGATAACATATAAAGCACTTAGAAGGTGCCTCACGTGTAGCAAACACTCATTGGTAAATATTATTATTATTTTTTTCATTTTTCTTTTATTATTCATATGTGCATACAAGGCTTGGTTCATTTCTCCCCCCTGCCCCCACCCCCTCCCTTACCACCCACTCCACCCCCTCCCTCTCCCCCCCTCAATACCCAGCAGAAACTATTTTGCCCTTATTCTAATTTTGTTGAGAGAGAGTATAAGCAATAATAGGAAGGAACAAGGGGTTTTGCTGGTTGAGATAAGGATAGCTATACAGGGCATTGACTCACATTGATTTCCTGTGCGTGGGTGTTACCTTCTAGGTTAATTCTTTTTGATCTAACCTTTTCTCTAGTACCTGTTCCCCTTTTCCTATTGGCCTCAGTTGCTTTAAGGTATCTGCTTTAGTTTCTCTGCGTTAAGGGCAACAAATGCTAGCTAGTTTTTTAGGTGTCTTACCTATCCTCACCCCTCCCTTGTGTGCTCTCGCTTTTATCATGTGCTCATAGTCCAATCCCCTTGTTGTGTTTGCCCTTGATCTAATGTCCACATATGAGGGAGAACATACGATTTTTGGTTTTTTGAGCCAGGCTAACCTCACTCAGAATGATGTTCTCCAATTCCATCCATTTTCATTGGTAAATATTATAATGATAATGCCATTCTCATTTAAAACCTTCCAGTGGCACCACTGGTAAAAGCCAAACTCTACATACAGCCCACAAATATGTCATGATTATTTTCCACTCTTACCATCAATTATTCACACTGGCCTTTCTGTTAACCGAACAATGCCAGGATCATTCTCACCTTGGGGTCTTTGTACTTGTTATACTTTCTGTTTAGAAATCTTTTCCACCAGTAGTTTATTTGTTTATATATCTGGCTTCTTTTAACTCATGTCTCAGATCAAATACAAACTATTGTACAGGCATCCCTGGTCATTTTATCTATTTGCTCCTTATCTGTTTCCCCCAGTGGTGCAGCAAGTCTCTGAAACAGGAATCTTCTCTGACTTGTCCACAGTAGTAACCTCAGTTCCCATAACAATGGCAGTAAATATTTACTGGAAGAATGAATAAGTGAATAATTTCTTGGTTTCTGACTTGGAAATGTAGGTGGGTAGTATGCATTCATTTGCTGAGACAGGGAACACTAGAATAGTGTGTGGGAAGATCATGTTATAATTCTTTCTTTCTCTCTCTCTCTTTCCTTCCTTCCTTCCTTCCTTCCTTCCTTCCTTCCTTCCTTCCTTCCTTCCTTCCTTCCTTCCTTCCTCCCCCCTTCCTTCCTTTCCTTCTTTTTTTTTTTTTTTTTTGGTAATACTCGGTTTGAACTCAGGGCCTTGTGCTTACCTAGGCAAACACTGTACCACTTGATCCCAACTTTAGTTATTTTTCAATAGGGTCTCACACTTTTGCCATGGGTTGGTCTAAGACTGTGATCTTCCTACTTCTGCATCTGGCTTATCAGGGATAACAGAATGCTCTTTGAGATAGCGTCTCACTAACTCTTTGCCATGCTGACCTCAAATCACAGTCCTCCTAGCTCTGTCTCTTAAATAGCTGGAACTACAGGCATAAGTCACTGTGCTAAGTCTACAATTTATATTTTCTAAAAATCAGAAAACAAATACTGAGCTGATTCAATAGTTAAAAACACCAAATTTTAGAGATTTCAAGTAATCTCTTTTTCTGTTTTTGGCAAGTGACTACTTTTAGAATATATCAGCGCATTCTGTTTTTTTCATGAATATCTCCTAAAGAAAGAGTGTCTTTGCAAACTCTCAGTAATGTTTTTAACCTTGAAATTGTAAGTTGATTTTTTAAAAAAAAATTTCTAGCTTTATATCAGACCCATGTCTTCTGGAAAATAAAATAAGACTTATTTATCAAAAATTTTTTGGTGGTACTGGTGTTTGAATTAAGGGCTTTGAACTTGTGAGGTAGGCCTCCAGCCCTTTTTGTTCTGGTTATTTTGAGATAAGGTCTTACTTTTTTTCTCACATGAGATAGAGGGCTGTCACTAGAAGAGTAAAAGAGTGTCTTTTAAACTTCAGTAATGTACATTTCATATACAATGAAAAAACCTAATTTATGACAAGTTTGATTTTTTGAAAGAAAAACTTTGTAGCTTCAATTATCCAGACCATGTCCTTCTGAAAAAGACTAAAATAACGACTGTATTTATCAAAAATTTTTTGGTGGTACTGGTGTTTGAATTAAGGGCTTTGAACTTGTGAGGTAGGCCTCCAGCCCTTTTTGTTCTGGTTATTTTGAGATAAGGTCTTACTTTTTGCCCAGGCTGGTCTGGAATTATGATTCTCTTGTTTTGGCTTCCTTTTATCGTGGGGATGACAAGTGTGCACCATCACACCCAGCTCTTTTCTGTTGAGATGGTGTCTCAGAAACTTTTTTTTGCTCTGGCTAGCCCAGAATCAAGATCCTCCCAATCTTAGCCTCCCACATAGTTTGGGATAACAGGTACATACCAATGCACCCAGCTATTAACAGAGAAGTTTTAGTGGTCTTGTGAAATTTTTGTCTCAAATGGTTGTCCTCCCTATCTCAGCCTTTCGAGTACCTGGGATTACAGGTGTGAGACACTGTTGCTCAGCTGTTTCTCAAAATTTTAATGCATGAAGATTGCTATTATATTCTTCTAGTTCTTCTTTTAGGCTATTTAAAACATATAAAGCCTTTCCTCCCCAATCAAAGAGTCTACAACCAAATCTCAAATTATACAATCAATGCTATTATACTCATTTAAGTTTAATACTATTTGGAAAAGTCCTTCATTTAATTTTTTTTAAAAAAATAAACAACACTTCTAATAAAACTTACCTTCGTTTGCAAATCAGGAACCACAAAGCTGATGCCAAGGCAAAGAAGCCAATTCCCAAACTAACAGCACCAGCAGCCAGAAAATAGGTTAAGTGGTTAAAAAAACCTATACAAATAAATTATAAAAGATTATTTCATGCATGTGTCTTCATTCTTTTGGTAAAATTAAATGATATAATAGGTCAAATGATGTAGCATAGTGCAGCATTACAACTGACCAGGAGGGTGGGAGGCCTGAATTCTAGTCCTGTGCAATTCTAATGAACCTTAAGACCTTGAACTACAGCACAACGCAGGGCCTCTGCACATTACAGCCCAGTGCACATTTCTTTGACCCTGATGGCAGATTTGAAATCTAGGTTTTTTTTTTTTTGTATAGCTGTCACCTCAGTCTTTTCTTATCTGGTTTTCTCCCTTTCCATATCAGCTGTGAATTTTCATTATTTCTCTGGTATCATTGCTGGCAGTCCTTTGACATAAGACTCTTCTTATTTTAAGATTTGTATTGTCAATCACCATAAGCAGACAGATGAAAAGTAATCCATATGAGGAATTTTTAAGATCTCAGAAATTTTTAAGAGTTTTCTCTATCTTAGAAACTATAAAAGATCATGATCCAAAGCTAAAAAAGTAATTTAAAATACTAGCATATTGTAAATATAATCAGGAAAGACTTTAGGATGACTGAGGAATCTTGGAAATGAAAATTTCAAAAATTTTAAACTAGAACAAATCCTTCTTTGAGCACAAAAAGAATTACTGAAGTGAAAGTTAATACTCAGAAACTCCTCTGATTTCAGGAAGAAATGAAAAGTATGATAAAGAAATTATAGAGGCTGGGGGCATAACTCAAGTGGTAGAACACTCACCTAGGAAATGCAAGACCCTGAGTTCAAATCCCTGTATGGCAGAAATTATGAGACATGGGAATGCTTAAGAGTAGATAATAAAACTTCAAAGAGTTCCGAAAGAGAGAATAGAAAACCATGCTCGAATACAACCTAAGGGTTTTTTTTTTGGCGGGGGGGAGAGGTACTAGGGTTTGAACTGAGAACTTTAAGCTTGCTAGATAGGCACTCTATTGCTTGAGCCACAGTTCTAGCCCCTTTTGCTTTGGTTATTTTGGAGGTAGGGTCTCGCTTTTTGCCCAGGCTGGCCTGAAACACGATCCTCCTATTTTATGCTTCCTGCATTGCTGGGATGACAGATGCCCAGCTCTTTGTTGAGATGGGGTTTCATGAACTGTATGCCTGGGCTGACCTTGAACTGTGATTCCCTCACTCTCAATCCTAAATAGCTAGGATTACAGGCGTGAGCCACCAGCACCCGGCGCTAAGATTTTTTATGTTAAAGATTTTTAACTTGCACATTGGAAAATTCACATTTTTTGGTGTGTGGTTTTATACATTTTGACAAATACAGAAAATGTTTGAACACTACCACAATCAAGTTACAAAGAAGTTCCTTTACTCCCCTTCCTCAAGTTTTTTCATATTGCCTCCTTGGAGTCATGCACTGACTGCTGGCAACCACTGATCAATTTCCATTTCTATACTTCTTTTCCAGAATTTCATTCAAATGGAATCATACAGTATGTGATCTTCTGAACTTCTTTCCACCCAGCATAATACATTTGCTTTTCATACATGTTGTGCCATGTGCCATCTTTTGCCTTTTTGTTTTTTGCCTACATGAGAGACAACTGTGTTGTTTTCAGTTTGGAGTGATTAGGAATAAGTTTTGCATGCAGGTCTCTTTGAATCAATTTATATCATTGGGAACATGAAGCAAGTATCCATTCACATTTATCAGAAACTGCCTAACTACTTTCTGAACTGGCTGTACCACCTTGCTTTCCCACCATCAATAGACAACAATTCCAGTTGCTCTGTATCATCACTACCACTTGAAATTATAGGTTCCATTTTAGCCATTTTATTACATATATAGTGATATCTGATTGTGGTTTTAATTCTTTCTCTTTTATGAGTAGCCCAGACTGGCCTTGAACCCATGATCCTCCTATCTCAGCCCCTGAAATTCTCTTAATAGTCTTTTACTGAACACAATGTTTTATTTTGGAGATGTCCAGTTTATTAACTTTGTTCTTATATGGATTATGCTTATGGCCTCTAAGAACTCTGCGTAACTTAGGTCATAAAGATTTTCTCCTGTATTTTCCTATAGAAGTTTTACAGATTTATATTTTACATTTGTGACTCATTTTGAATTAATTCTTGCATAAGATTCAAGATATGGGTTGAATCCCTTTTCCTTTTTTTAGCTTGTGTAAGGACACAAAGCTTTCAACAGCATTTGTTGAAAAGACTCTCCTTTTTGAGTGAGGTGCCTTTGTACCTTAGTCAAAAATCAGTTATATTTGTGTCAGTCTTTTTCTGGAGTCTCAATTTTTTCCTTTGATCTATGCGTCCTACTCTTTTGCCAGTAGCAATAGTATCTTACATTCGTATAGCAAACACTGTATGCTGGACACTGTTCCAAGTGCTTTATAAATATTAAATTAATTCTCACAACAACCCTATGGATTAAGTTATTTCCTCACTTTGCAGTTGAGGCAAATTGTGGTTAAGTGTCTTTTTCAAAGGCATGCAACTGGTAAGCTGAGAAATAGTAGTAATAAATGTTGCTAAGAATTTTTATCTAGATTGAGTGAAGAATAGAGACACGGAAGATCTTTATTTTTTGTTAGAACAACTGTTAAGGAATGTTAAAAATTTAAGGATGTCACAAAAGATAATACCTAAATGGCCAATAAACACATGGAAATTTACTAATCATCAAGTTAGTGCAAATTAAACCACAGTGAGATAGTGTGACTGCTATATATAATGCTTAACATGAAAAAGGGCAGAGTAACTGGTCTCATTCACTGCTAGTGGGAGTGTAATTTGGTACAATGCTTGGGAAAACTGTTTGGCACTATTAAACCCTACGATCCAGCAACTTAACTCTTTTAGGCCCATACCCCACTGAGGAGCACAAATACGTTCACAAAAATACATACTCGAGTGTGCGCAGTAACGCTGAGCTAGCCCACAAAGTGGGAACTGCTCAAAAGTCTGTCCATAGTTGAACCGATAAATATAAAAGTTGACTTGATTAAAGAAAACGAATATCCTACAGCAATGGGAAAGGACTATAGCCATGCTCAAAAACTGGATAAATTTCATAGACAATGTTGGGCAAAAGAAGGAAGACATCAAATTCTAATACAGATATTAAGTTGGTTTCTGGGATTATGATAATGTTCTGTTTCTTTTCTTTCTTTTTTTTTTTTTTTTGCAGTACTGGCACTTAAACTTAGGGCCGTACACCTTAGCCACTCCACCAGTCTTTATTTAGTTATTTATTTTTGTGATGGGTTTTTTCGGGATAGGATCTCATGAGCTATTTGCCTAGGCTGGCTTCGAACTGCGATCCTCCTGATCTCTGCCTCCTGAGTAGCTAGGATTACAGGCGTGAGCCACTGGTGCCGGCCATGCTCTGTTTCTTGACTTGGGTGTTGGTTAATGAGGTGCATTACGTGAAACTTCATCAAGCTTACCACTTATGAACTACGTCTGTATGTGTCAGCATGAATAGAATTGAAACACACACTGTTCAGTGAAAAATAAAAGTACAATTGGTACTATTGAATTATATTCAATTATATTCAACATTAGTACTGATTTCACTTATGCACATTGAAAGAAAACACAAAAGAATACATTTTAAACAGTTAAATGTAGAAAAAGAATAAAATACTTCCATGATATTAGTTATCTCTGGGGGAAAATGAAGGGAATGAGACTATTGATGGAATCCAAACAGACTTTGTAATGCTTCACTTCTTAAAAAATTAAAAATCTACAGTGTATATGACCAAAAAATGTTCATTTAGGAGGGGATTATATGGGTGTTTGTTATTGTTCTTTTTTTTCTTTTCATTCTTCTGATTTTTGAAATACTTAAAAATTGTAAAAATAATGTGATCTCAATTTTGTAGCAAAAAAGAAGAAAAAGAGAAACACACTTTTATAAGGAAAATAATACTGGCTATTAGTAGGGTACAGGCTTATAAGTAAAATTTTCACTCAAGACTTTTCTATATATTCAAAATTTCTACCATGAATATTTTAGAAAAATCAGGACAAAATTGAAACCTCATATGTAATTCCTGACTCCTTTACTATATTCTACAAGATCCTGGTACCTCTTCTCTATGTTTACCACTGTGTTTATAACCTACCTCCTTAACATCTCTGTTCACCATTTTTTCTTTTTTGCAGTACTGGGGTTTGAACTCAGGGGCTACAACCTTGAGCCACTCCACCAGCCCTTTTTTGTGAAGGGTTTTTTCGAGATAGGTTCTCGCCAAATATTTGCCCAGGCTGGCTTCGAACCACAATCCTTCTGATCTCTGCCTCCTGAGTAACTAGGATTACTGGCGTGAGTCACCAGCACCCGGCCTCTGCTCATTCACTATTCCACTTTAAAAAGTCTCCATTGCGAACACAGATATTCTGTATCTGCTTCCTGGCTGATGTAAATTCAGATGCTTGGCTCTGCCACACCCTTCCTTGCCATGATGAACTGGAACCTCTGAAACTGTGAGCCAAAATAAATCCTTTTCCTCTCTTAAGTTTTTTTTTTTAAGTATTTGTAATAGCTATAAGAGAGTCTAACCAGCACAGCACCATTGAAAAGAAGTCAAGTACTTCTCACAGTCATAGGAAAAATGCCTTGAAAGCATCCCAGGGATTGACCTTACTCCACTGATTGCAGTCTCAAGGGTATAAAGAAGTAATCTCATTTGAAAAATTTTGCTTGGAGAAGAGTGCCCCCAGGGCACTCTGCTGGCACAGGGATGCCTACAGAAGTCTTGCTCTGCATTTAGCCATCCAAGCACTCAGAAGCCTCTGCAGTCATGGCCCAAGGAGGTTTGGCTACTGCTTGAGCTGGTACCAGACAGACCTTGGTTGTCATTCATGTGATGCTGGTTTTGCAGGCATGCAGAATGCAAAAATTAATGTGGTCATGGAGGCCTCCATCCAGATTTCAAAGGAAGGTCTGGGGGGCCAGGCAATGTGTGGCAGGATGTGAGTT